CGACTACGAAAAAGACGAAGACAATGAGATTGGTTTTGAAGAAGGTGATCTTATTGTAGAGATTGATTTCGTGGATGAGGATTGGTGGTCAGGAAAACATTCCAAAACTGGTGCAGTTGGTCTTTTCCCTGCCAATTATGTAACTTTAAACGAGTAGAACTTTTATAAAACAGACGAATCAATAAAAAATGTTTTTTTCTCAAACTGTGTAAAAAACAACGTAAATCATTTTCCTATGTAAATTCCCGGAAATGTCCCCCCCCCCCCCCCCATTGCTTTGTCGCTCATTCACAAAACATCTCCTCTTATTTATCAGCACCCTTCCTCGTTCCTATCCCCTCTTTTGCACATCCAAGGTCCTACACACACACATACACACACACATGACAGAGATAGAACTAAATCACTCACGCCAGTCTAACAACACTTCTACTCCCTCAACAAACGCCGGCACAGGCACAGGCAACAGCACTTACACTACGCCTAGATCCCCTGAAGCACCCGTTTCTTTGGAAGATTACCACAGCCCAGACTATCACAACCACCGAGAACTTTGTAAAAAGTGCAATAATCTAATCGTTGAGGGTCACGCATATGAGTTGGGTGAAGACAGATGGCACATTGATTGCTTTAAATGTTCCAAGTGTGACACGTCGCTAGGTTGCAATTCCAATTTCCTTGTCTTGGGTAATGGGAATCTTATTTGCTCCAACTGTTCGTACAATTGTAAGCAATGCGGAAGAAAGATTGATGATTTGGCAATTTTGACGGGTGATCAAGCCTATTGTTCAAATTGTTTCAAATGCCGTTCTTGTAAACGGAAGATTGAGGATTTGAAGTATGCACGTACATCAAAGGGGTTATTTTGCATGGATTGTCATGAAAAATTAATGGCTAAAAAGAAGAGGTACGATGCCAAAAAGAGACAATTGGCGACATTGCAAGAAAAGAAGAGTCAATCTCTGTTGAGCGGAGCAGGCGAGGATTCGAAAACTACTTTAGACGATTACAAACGAGCATCAGCCAGCAGCTCCCGAAATAGTTTAATCCAATCCTACATGACCAATTCGCATAATGGTGACCAAAACAAAAGTCGATCTAGTATCTACAAACAAGGAGAAAACAATTCCCAGCTATCAATAAACTCAAGAAACAAGACATTACCAAAAGCACCGGGAGAACACCATTCAGCTACATCAGGTTCAAACCTCGCATCTGACCTAATTTCAAACACAAATAGTCATAAAGATGTACCTTCTACAGAGTCAACACAGTCAAGAGCATCTTCTGGTACTTTGCATTCCGCTGAAAAGTTACATGGTCAAGATGCGACACGTGGTGAAAACAGACCGGGAAAGAGCTTTAATACACACTCCAGTCCCAACCCACCATTGCTTCTGCCAGAAAATGACTTTTCAATTGAGGAAGTGCAAAATAGCTCAGATTCTGATATTGAGCCCGAAACCTCTCTGAAGCAAAACAAAGGTGCATCATTGAGATCCAAAACTTCGACTGCTAGAGGTGGTGGCGGTGATGGCGATCTAAGCGCTCATTCACGATCAATCCACACTTCACCCGTGCAACTCAATTCAAATAACGCAAAAATCTCTCAACAACAAAATCTCGACAAGTCAGCTCAACTCGACCTTGCCGATGGTGTTGCGTCATCAGAATACCCAGCAAGATCAAAACAGCGCAAATCTTTTATCCACCACAACAACAACAACGATAATGGTAACCAGTTGGATGCCCCCGCAGACTTGAAGCCGTCATCTGGTATTAGCAGTAGAGACCCAACCAAGCATCTTAGTCCACAAACTGCATCGCAGGAAGTTGTAGGCGATGGTAAAAACAAAAACTTGTTGATCTTGTCTCCAGGACAGTTTCATGACCATGAATTTCACAGTGCCACTATGGGCTCTCCAATGATTGATTCGCCTGGTACCTTACTCAGTCGAAGCTCAAGCAATGACAATAGATTGAAGGTGCAGAGTTTGGCTTTAGAACAAGAGCAATACTCGAGATCACAATGTCCTTCACCGTATGCCAAGGCAAATAGACAAGCAAGAGTAGTGGAGATGAATGACGAAATACAGATGGATGCCGTGCCGGTTGAAAATGAACTTACGGTCGATCTGAGCCTGGCGTATGCCACGCCACAACAACTGAGACATAGATCAGCATCCGGTGCTGGCAATGGATCTGTGCCCATTGGTGCATCCTTGTCTTCGCCACCTCCTAAAATGCCTGTTCCTGATACCCCAACAAGGAATCGGGAGCGCTTGCCGGTGTTGAAATTTGATGAGTCTGTTGCCTATGGTTTAGGCTTGGAGGGGGTGACCTACTCCGAGAATGACTCGCACAAGATGGCAGTGAACCAAGAAACAGAACAAAGAGATTACATGAGGAAGTTGCGTCAACAACAACAGGAGTACGAACAACACAAGTCCAACCCTCACCCATCACTGATGACTCCACAAAAGCCTAAAGAAGAGCCAACTAAATCACTACGCGGCGAACAAGTGCCACCAGCTGCATTTTCAATCAATCAATCGCCTCGTATCATTGGCAATGCGACTCCAGTGGTCACCAATTTGGAAGATGAAAACGATGAAAGCCAAGCAGCACCAGGGGAGCTGCCACTGCAACCGCATAAAATGTCGCGTACCACGTCACTTATTCGTAATTTAAAACACAAACGATCTACTTCAGGAGGGAATCAATCCAAGTTTGGTTTCTTTAAGGCCTCGCCAAGAGAAGAAGTTAATAAGGGTGGGCAACCGACACATACTAGACATATATCTGATAGTTCTATTGGCAGCAGCACCATTGCCGGTATTAATTCGATACATTCACAATATTTCACCTCACCGAGTAGAGCGGATAATATGAGCAGCAATGGGTTCGACAGAGCTAAAGCTCCTTATAGTCAAACTCAATCACATGCAAGACTGACATCTGATTCAACCATGTTTTTCGAAGGTGGTGGCAATGGTGATTCCTCATTTGATCTCAAATCTATGAGATTAGAGGTGCAGAAATTGTCAGCTGACAAGTTGAATTTGGATATTGAGATCAAGAGATTGAAGCAGGATAAGTTGAAACTTTGCGATCAATTGAAATCCATACAACTGAATTTCACCGATGAGAGTATCAAGTATGATAATTTGGTTCATGAGGTTCAAGATTTAGAGCTGAGGAAGTTGTACTTGACCCAACTGAATAATGAGTTGGCTAAGGAGAATGAACGTCTCAAGTCGTTGTTACAAAAGCAACATCAGATGAAGCAGCAGCAACCATCGTTGTCCACTATGCACAATTTCAGTAGTAGTGATTCTGAGCCATTGGGTGATGATGTTTCAACAAGTTTCAGCACTGCATCTACCGTGGGAGGGGGAAGAGATGGCAAAGGATTGGCATATAATGACCAACAACAAGCGCAAGCTCAGAAACGACAACAACAGCAACAACAACAACAACAGCAACAACAACAACAGCAGCAGCAGTCTGTCCCACAGCAGCAATCGTATATCCCTGAGGACGATCAAACGCACAAAGCAACGAGGTTGAAATTTTGGCGCAGAGCTAAAACCGGAGGTCCACAGGTTGTCTCTACGAAAAATGACAATAATGGCAACTATGGCAACTATGGCAACATCTCCGCCCCATCAATGCCCCACAGTGTTTCCACACAAGGTTTACGTATACCTGGTATAAACACTGGCAATAATGGTTACAACAATAGCAACGGTGGTGGCATCAACCATAGCAACAGTAATAATGGCAATGGACAGGGAACGAGCAGCAAGTTCAGTAGATCGGCATCCACCAACATTCTTGACTCGTTCTTGAACACTGACTACAATGGTTCCAACTCTAGTGGACTACACTTGACCAAATCTAAGCTGAGTTCAACAGTATCATTATTCAATACCACCTTGCAACAGCGGGCCGAGTATGAAAAGACACCCATCCCACTAATTGTGAGTCGTTGTTTAAGTGAAGTTGAGAAGCGGGGTTTGGAAGTTGAAGGAGTATATCGTATTTCCGGGGGGAACTCAGCAATTGTTGCCATTGAGAATGCATTTAGCAACTTGGGACAGGACCTTGACGATAGACAATTGAATAAATTGAATGAGTTATTGGATGGCGATATCCATGCCGTGACGTCGGCGTTGAAGCGATACTTGCGCAAGTTGCCCGACCCAGTGATACCGATTACGTTTTATGATGAGTTTATTGGCATTGCATCTTCACAACCCCAAAGGGACGCGCGGTTGGATTTGTTGTGCAATTTGGTTGCGAGATTGCCTAGTGCCAATCGGTCAGTGTTGCAGATGTTGTGTCTGCATTTGCACAAGGTGTCGACATTGCTGGAGGTTAATCGAATGGGGATCAAGAATTTGAGTGTGGTTTTCGCGCCTACTTTGGCCAGAGACGAGACTGGTGAGCGGGAAATGAGTGATATGGGTCATCGAAATGACATGACTGAGTTGTTGTTGAGCGAGTATAGTAAAGTATTTAGACAGTTTTAAAAAAGAGTGAATACACTGAAGAATGAGTGTGTACTGGAATATACATACAGTTGGCGTTTCTTTAGATCGACAGAATCTGTGTTTTGGGAGATGGATAAATATCTATGTACATGTAAGTCCATCATCCGATCAATCAATATATACTTGTTCAATGTATATCCTTAATCTGAGGATTCAGAAACATTTCAAACCTCCGGTGTCCAACACGAAGCAAATGTTCAATGGTACTAAACTGCTTCTTTGGCAAATGCTGATACTTGTGAAACTCCTCTCGTACATAATTTTTCCAATGTGGTTGGGTTTCTTTAGGTTTGGTGTATACGCATCGTTGGCATTGGCGGTATAGATGTAGTACTTCTTTCTGTAGTCCCGATAGTCTGGCCATGGTTTGTAAAGAGTACGGATGAAACTTTTTTTTTGTTGTTGTTGTTGTTGGTAGTTTTACTTGATATGGGGAAATTTTCTGATGCAGCTGTGCTGTGCTGTGCTGTGCTGTGCTGTGCTGGGAGAGTGGGTGGATGTATTATCTTTCTTTGCTCTGGACCTACCTATGTCTGCCCTGTTTGCAATGCAAAGATACAATATTGTGAATGGTGGTGATGATGTAGGAAGATGATGACACTGATGACGTACTATATCTGTGATGTATAAAAGAAGAAGCAATAAAGTAAAGAAAAGAAAAGAAAAAATAAAAAATAAAAAATAAAAAATAAAAAATAAAATTATAAAGGTGACGCAAAATCAAAAAGTCAATTGTTTGATCTACGAGAGATCCGAGTGTTGTTATAGAAGGAAATTGGCACAGTGTAATTGGTGTAATCAATAATGAGCGTGATGATACATGTCTCGTATTTGTTTTTGTAGAGACTAGTTCAAACAGGTGTAAAAAAGAATGAAGTAGAGTTTTCATTGAAAATGAGATTAGTTGTGTCTTAGAGAGGTTCGAATTTCCTTTTTCTACATTCACACATTCCGCAGTGCATTAATGCTTGGTTTGATTTGTATCTTCCAATGACCACCCTCTATGCGGAAACTTCTAAAGACAAAAATACTCTCTCAGTTTTTCTTTCCTTGAGAGCAACAACTGTGTCTATAGAACGCACAAGGGGGATGGTAGTGGAGTCTTATCCATTTGTGTAAGGGATCCCCCACCTTCAACATATTCTTCTAATCCAGAAGTAATACTTGCAGGGACAGTCAAACTTGGTGTTGTTGCACGATTCTTAGATTGCCCTTTTGGGCGAGGCGAGGTGACAATCCGCTGTCTTACGTCATTCATTAGAGATCAAAGAGTGAATAGAATATTTTACGACATGTCACACACAAACGTTCTCTATAAAGTGTTGGTACCTCCTTTTTCAACAAACGATTTTATAGGAAGATATTAGGGAGTCTCTCATTTCAAGAGCATTTGTGAATGTGTATATGTTGATTATGATCTATATATATATATATATCTATATCTATATGTGTATGCAAAGTTATCCTCATTACTCTTCTCTTTCTTATTTGTATTATTAAGTTAGTAATGAAATTTTTTCTCTCGCTCTAAACTCTGAGTCTGTCTCTACATTTATTAAGTCGACAAAAACAACACCAACCAACAAACTAAATATTCTTTATTAACGCAACATCAAAATCCAACTCAAAGAGAATACACAGACACACCTAATAAATCATTCGCCATCAGAATAACAACCTACCCATCCACCCGTCTACCGATCTATCTATCTATCTATCTACACATTCATCTCATTCCCTTTAGAATCACAGTAACAGCATAAAAATACACTTTTTCTTTCTTACATTACACTAGCCAAACGAATAATCGACTTACAAATCAGATGGCTCATGAAGCAAACAGAAGGATTCAACACCAACAACAGCACATTTCATCTCAATTTCCAATAGCTATGCCTGGCTTACAAGAACAGCATCAATTTATTCTGTCTAATGGTCACAACAACAACAATAACAACGTCCATGGACATGGACATGTAAATAATATTGATAATCAGCCTACTTCTTCGTCACCAACAACACCACAACATTTGCGTTACAGTTCAAACACAAGCAACGTTCGAACAAGCATGCGCAAGGCGGCTTTCAATAATATGAGAACACCAACCCCATCTGCTTACGATATTCCATCCAGTCCTCAAGTGAATCACAAGTCCACTGTTAATGCCGCTAATCATTTGGCACATCAAAACCATTCCGATCTGTCTGATAGTAACCCTGTTTTGGACCAGGTTACTGCGCATGATATCGAAACTAGTACAAACCCCCGTCCACAAACACTAAGGCAGAAGTTGGCACAACAACCTTTGAGTAGTAATCAAGCGTCTGAAACTCAAGATATGAAGTATTTGGGACAGCAACAACAGCAGCAGCAACAATCACCAAGGCGCCAACCGCAACCGCAACAACAGCAACAGCAACAGCAACAACAGCAACAGCAACAGCAACAACAGCAACAGCAACAGCAACAACAGCAGCAGCAGCAGCAAAGAGCAATGTCAGACGAGGAACAACAATTGGCAACAAAGTTAAAAGAGACTTACAAAAACATTGTCAACTACGAGGAAGTGGTGCAGAAAAATTGCATTGAAATCACCATCAAAATTAATCAACTCACAGCTAGCACAAACCCCAGCATGGTTTATGGGAACCAGCTTGCAAACCAGAATCTTTCCAGCTCATTAAACTCCAACTCATCGCTCAATTTCAACCCCACTCGAACTTCTGAATTGCTGAATGACCTTTGGACAGTTTACCACCACAACATGACATTATTGGACAATTATTATGACTTTTTGGTGACATCCCTAAAACCTTCTTCTAATCAAACCCAATTCAAAACTGGCAAAAACATTGTTGAGTTGTACAAGATTCCTAGAAGAATGTGGGTGTATGGAATTGTTGGATTCTTGGAAGTTTTAAAGAATATAATGGGCATTTTTCAAGATCATGAAATATGTGCATGCTTTATCTCGCATTGCTTCAATATAATATCAAACTTGACTGACCCTATTTTGGAGATGGAAGGATGGTGGGCAGAGAAATTGGGCGATTTGTCAAGAATGGCCATAGCTTTGTATTCATCCAAATTCATTGATTGGAAGATTAGTGCAGAGTATTGGTATGCTATTTCAATGAAGACACTTTATGGCCATGGGAAAATTCATTATCACATGTGCACTGTACAACAAGATAACTTGGATGCGTTGGTGAATATAAGCAAGTCAGTAACATGTCGTGACCCCTTTGTGCCAACACAGCACTATTTGAGATTGGTTGTGGAAAACATTTGCACTCAAAGAAACATTCTTTCGTTGTTGGAGCTTCCAATCATCGACTTTATCAAGATACACAAGGTGTTACTAAGCATATATAATGGACGTAATAGCGAGGGAACTTCGGTTGAAAATATTCATGACTCGCAATTGCAGTATGGTATCGATTTGGTGACAAGATATGGATTGACGTTTGGTTCTGACTCCAATGGGTACAACTTTTTCACTAGAGAGATTTACAGCTCAGGCAGCATGACAATTAACGATCCACAAAGTCATCATCCTCTGTACTTCCAAAAGTTGCCACCTCAACATCCTCTGCATATACCTACTCAAATACCACCTCAGGCACCACTTCAAACGGCACCATCAGCTACAAATACTTTGGAAAAGATGAATTTTTGGTTCAATAAAGGATCACTTTTTGCAATTTCAAATATCAATCATTTGATTGGATTTGGCGATGCAAAAAACCCATTTGCTAAACTTTTTGAATTACCAGAAGCCTTGAAGGAAAGAAAAGACAAGAAGGATAGAAAGAGGAAATCTAGAAGTGTATCTCAATCCGAAGAAATGATGCCAACTAATTCGGACAGCGGAAATAATACTGCCAATACCAGTAGTGCACCAAGTGCCGGTCTCAGTGGTGGTGGTGGTGGTGGTGTTGATGGACAGTCGGTGGTTGCTGCACACTTGCACAACTATGATTGGTTCTACAGCTTGGAGTTTATCAACAAGTCGGTGTTGGAATTGTCAATGAGAATATTGAATCACTACCTTGTCGGACCAAAGCAAGCATCAACGGGACACGTTATTGTTTGGTTATATTTTTTGATATGTGTTGGGGAAGGAGTTAAAAAATATCCAGTTTCACAACCCATGTTTAACTGGTTGTTCAAAAACTTATTCCCGTGGGAATCATTCATCAATTATTTGAACTCATTGTTGATGTTTGTGAAAAACAGTCCCAAGTTGTGCTCGTTGTACACTCAGTATTTGCAAGTGCCATATATTGCATGGTTTTGTGAAAATGAGTTTCTTCCCGAGGTTTGGAAATGTTGGGGAACATTGTGGTTTGACTTTATTTGTGAAAAAGGTGATTACGTTGACGTTGAGGAAGCCGGGATCAAGAATAACAACTTGTTTGATTTGCCAGTTAGTGGAACTTTCCCTGTATTGAACATGCCAAGTGATTCATTTGATCAGAAATCTAGAAATCAAATGGCGAATGATAATGATGAGCGGATAGTTCGTATTATATTATTGGCAAGAACATTGGCGGATGAATACAGCTTTGGTTTGGTTAGAACAAGCACCGATTTCAAGTTTGATGAACATGTATATAATAACCCCACAACTGATCCTTTTGCTGAGCAGTTTATCAATGATGATCGATTCACCACCAACAATTTCTGCCAACCGATTTCGCCGGAAAACTTGACTAATGAAACGCAGAATCTCACCTCTTTACAAAAGGATGAGATGTGGTTTAGTGGATTGGATAGTCATCTTTACGAAGATGAGAATTTGGAATTGGAGGATGATATCATTGATGAGGATGAAGATGAAGAAGGAGAGGTGGATGATGATGATGAAGAAGACGACGACGACGACGGAGACGACCATGAAGATGACATCATTGGGGACGAAGAGGATGTTCGTTATGACGATGAACACGATTTGGAAAAGAATTATCATGGCCTTTCGAATCAAGGCTTTAATCAGTCCAGTGGTGGTGGAGAGATGTTTTACAATGATGCATTCATTGGCACACAAACGGATCCATTGAGTTTGGGTTCTTTGAACAACAATGATGATATTGAAGGGAATTTCGGCGATAAGATTGATAGTAATATCACGTATGTGACCTTGGACACCAACATTTGGCTCAAACATTGTGGGCGTGTTTTCAAATGTGTACGAAATGGGGTTTTGAAAATCACTATTCCATTGATTGTTTTCCAGGAGTTGCGAGCATTGCGGAAATCAGCTGAGGCTACAATTGCTGATGTAGCAACGAGGTCGGTGATTATCATTCGAGAACTTTATCTCACTCGCGAAGTTGTTCCATTAAGATTTGATGGAACTGTTGCTTCTGACATTAATGAAACTATTGAGTTTGAGAATAATTCTAATTGGCGTTCAAATGTGGACGAAACGATTTTGCATGCGGTGAATGAGCATGATGAGATGGGTAAACGGTTGATGAAAGGACTCAACATGAAACTATCCTCGTACACGAGGTTATCACCAGAGGTGAATGACGCGTCGTATCAGTATCATGCAAGTAGTCAGCAACAGCAACAGCAGCAGCAGCAGCAGCAGCAGCAATCACAACAAGAACGCTACGAAGAATACACCCCAGAAGATGATCGTCATCACAGCAACAACATCAACTATCGCATGGCATTTGGAATTAAGCACCATCCTAATCCCTCTTCCTACTTTAACAAAAAGGAGGCTCCCATCTTGAATTCTCGAATGGCCAAGCTATTCAAGTACTGCATCTTGATCACTGATGATCGTAACATGAGATTACGAGCAAAGACAATAGGGTTGACCTCGTTTCAGAGTAAATGGTTGTTTGGCCAATTAGAAACGGTGTTTGCGGATAGATGTATAGATTAGGCATGAAGAGAAGAAATAAAAAAAAAAGAGACATAATGCAGCATTTTTCGAAACTTAGATGGATGTACAGTATGCGTGTGTAGGGAATGTTGGTGGTGGGACAGAGGTGGGTTTAATGCCCGTTGTATTTTCCATAGTCCCTTTTTAGGTAGCATGTACTTAATTCTCAAAGGAGACAAATTGGCGCGCGCGAAGAAATTGAAAAATGAAAAATGAAAATACAAGAAAAGCGCTCAATCGCAAGGAGTGTGTGCGTGTGTGTGTCTGTAGATCTGTGTCCACACGGCAACAACAGTTTTGAAGATTTGTCTCTAGAAAGAATGTAAATTGTAAAAATAAGGGGAACATGAGTGAAGGGGCTCATGAACGAGGTGCCTCGTTTGAGAACCTATTACAAGAACGTGGTGCGAGTTTTGCAGTTAGTTTTCAATGACGTAAGACGCTATACTCTCCTCAAAAATGAGGCAAATGATGACGTAAAGCAACCATGACTCTCTTTTAAAAGTTAGTGGCTGGCTGAATAAGCCTATTTGATGACAGATTTGTCCAAATGCGGTTCTCTTCCATGTCCTATTTGGTCTTGACTTTTGTATTTGTCTGTTTGTTTGTTTGTTTGGTATTCCAAAAGGTGACAAAAAACTTGAAGTACACAAAAGCAAAACCATGGTTCAGACGCGAGTTAATGCTGGTTATAAACACCGAAAGAAGTAAAAATATTTTTTCTGTAGATGGGCTCACAATATGTACATCTCGACAAAACGCTGTCAGATAATAAAGGGGTAATCCTATTGTGAAGTAATGGGCCAACGGTTTGTTACTTTATGAAATCCTTTTTTTTTTTGGTGGGGGGGGGAGGGACCTATATGTTTGGCGGCGGTGTTACATTTTTAAGAATGTTGCAACCTTTTTTTTTTTTTTTTAGTTTTGCTTGGGAACAGTTGTATGTCCCGCCTCAAGGTGACGATTACAACATAAAGTTATGGATTGAAAGAAGGTTGTAGTTGTGACTTGAAAACATTGACAAATGGCACAAGCTTTCCAAGCTTTTACTGCATTGTATACTTTGTCTCTTTTGTCCTTGTTTTGAAAGCGTACCTTTTGTCTTGTTCTTTTGCCTCTTTGTTCTTTATTCTTTGTTCTTTGTTCCTTGTTATTTTGTTTGTCTCTGTTTTTCTTTTCCTTTTTCTCGTTTTGTTCTCAATTTATTTTTGCAGTTTTACGTTTACGTTTGTTGCACCACTCGTTTCAAAAATATGGCGCAATCCCAAAACACTCCTACACTTCCTCTCCTCCTTTAGAAAAGAAATGTTGCAATATATATATATATAAATAAGGGATCACCCACCAAATATTCCAGAAATGTGTGGTCCCTGAAGTGAATATTCATCCATTAGTTTTCTTTTGCAAGACGTCCACTCCTTTTTATAAAAACATCAATGAGATTAACCTACTTAGCTACCCTCGCCAGTTGTCTTACTGCTATTCACGCTGCTCCAGCAGGTGTCCACACTGTGTTTATTACCGCTTATACCACTGTTGTTGTTGACCAGAATGGGGTTACACGTACACCTACTTTAGCAGCTACTGAGACTGCAGGTGCCACTGGAGGTGAGGTCGAAGGTGGTGCAGCTGCCATTTCAACATCTGCAAACACAGGTGGAGCACAGCCAACAACATTGACTACACAAAGTGCTCCACCAAATGGTGGTGCTAGCATCAGCAGCAGTAGTACTAGTCAATGGGTTCCTAGCACTACTGCGTCTATTGCCTCCACCTCGCAATCGACAAGTGCGTCGTCATCACAGCCTACAGGGTCGCTTCAATCGGGACAAGGTACTTACTACAGCACTGGATTGGGAGCTTGTGGAAAAGTTAGCCAGGATTCCGACTACATCATAGCCATCTCACATGAAATGTATGACGAGCACAATATTGACAACAATCCAAACCACAACCCCTTGTGTGGAAAGCAAATCAGAGCACACTATGAGGGTAAATCAGTTGAAGTGACTGTTGTTGATAGGTGTGAAGGTTGTGCCTATAATGACTTGGATTTCTCACCATCGGCATTCAAGAAATTGGCTGATCAAAAATTGGGTAGAATTGATATCACTTGGGAATGGTTATAAAAATGTATAAATTTTAACTGTTTGAGTTTTTACTTCTCTTTGTTAATTTTTCGCAGCTGCCCTGTGTATAGCAGGCCCGTCCCCACCCATTGATTTGATGGACTGATTCTCTGTAAAGTTTGAGTTACAATTCCGCTACGATTTTCACGAGCTACCACCACACAAATCGTTTTCAAAATCTATCAAATTTCTATACTGTTACAAAACTCGCTTTAAAATATCCAATTCAAATAGCCCTTCCAATCGCTTTGTTTCTCATTACGACTACTCTCTTCCATCTGCGCATAAAACTCTGCTTCATGCGCTTCGATTTCATCGAGACCAGTAGTCAAATCAGCGTCAATTGGTTTGACAAATTTGGTTCGTTTAATCACTTTCCAAAGAATGTATACTGCCAACGAAACAAAAACCATGATATAACTAAACAAGAAATCATCAACCGACCAGTGTCCTGGCAAAAACACTTGGTATCCCAAACACCCAACAATACAGCAGTACATAAATGTAGTAAAGTAGATGGAATATGGTTGGAACCATGATCTATAGGTGAATTTTCTTCTGTCGATTCCTTGTGCTTTAACAGCATGGTAAAAGCCAATATAAGTAATACCCATAAATGCATAATTGAGAATTTGGGCTCCGGTAACCAAATTGAACATGAAATTTAGTGCAACACTTGCCGATTTTCCCAATTGCAATAATGATAATAATGCAAAACAACACGAAACAAGAACACAATAAATAGGAATGCCCTTCTTGGTGCAGATTCTAAAAAACTTTGGCACAAATCCCTTCTTTGCCAAGTTGTATAAGCATCTGGACGATGTGTAGGTGTAGGAACAGCCTGCAGAAAACGCAGCCGTTACGATAACTGCATTGACTATGTCAGGGAGTGCCAGAATCCCCAAGTTTTGCATGGCAACAACATATGGCGACGAAACTCCGTCGGAGCCTCCAGACGTCAACGCCACGTATTTGGGATCGTTGTATGCAATCAAGATTGATACTGATAATGCACCACCAACATAGAAAAACACTAGTCGATACAACACAGTTCTGAAAGCAATGGCCATGTTGACTCTAGGGTTGACGCATTCACCTGCAGTCATACTAACATATTCACTACCAACACAAGTGAAAGAACTAGACAATCTGAGTGAAGCTAAAAAGCCTTGGAATCTACCCAAACTTCCAGTAGCATACTTCATACCAATGGGACCACCTGCAACATGCCAATATCTAAATCCGAATGCATCATGTTGGGGGTTTCCGCCGCACATGGTGATCAATGTGAAAAACAATAACCCAACACAAAGGGTCAATTTTGCCAATGAAAACCAAAACTCACATTCTCCAAACACACGAACTGCATACATATTAATGAGGGCATAAATGACAATTTGAATAACGAACGTAATTGCTGGTGAGTAATCATCACGCCAGAAGTGGATAATGTTGTTAACTGCTGTGATTTCCGTTGGTATGTAAAGACTCTGCATTGCCCAAAAATTGATTGACGCCGCCACCTCAAATGCAGGATCAATGACTCGACCGGCCAAGTTTAAAAATGGCGAGTCCACGGGCAAGTACAGTACCATTTCCCCCGTGGCTGTTGTCAACAAAAGAGTAAACAATGTCGATATGCAATAGGACATTAATAATCCCAAGGGCCCTCCGTTAACCAAACCTGAAGATCCAATGGTGACGAATAAACCAGTACCAATGGAACCACCAATGGCTATAAGTTGTAAATGCCTATTGTATAACGTCCTTCTGGTTGATCCAGTCCCATTCACACTAGAAGAAGAAGCATTTTCGGAGTTATCATTAGTCGATTCGGTAAACAATTCTTGCTCTTCGTTTGACTTTTGGTTGAAACGTTTCTCGTTGAGAGAGGTTGCATCCTCGACACTGGACTTGTCTTGTCTGTTAAACCACATAAGTAACGTTGGACATGCGTGGTAAATATGTAGTGAGGTAACTTATTGGGAAAGAAGTCGGGGATGGAGATGGAGATGGAGGGGAGGGGAAGGTCGTTGTGAAATAGAGAGTGTTTGTTGTAATGTTAAGTTATAGCAGAAAGAAGTAGAAAAGAGAAAACGGATCAACTTCAAGACTCCTCCGAATTCCAACTGAAGGGAAATAGTAGCTCAATTTATCTCATTCGGGAATCCCCCATCAAAGCCCAATTTGTGCATTGTTCGATATGTTAGAAAAAAAAAAAAATTTTTTAAATGGGAATAGAATCGGTGAAAAAATTTACATGCACAGTACAGTAGATCTCATATCTGATACCCACATCTATTTAGCATTCATTGTGATAGAGCTAGTCTTGTGAAAGGCGCTTCTACACTCAATGCTTGTTTCGTGTATTTTGTCGATGTTAATGGTGAAGGTGCATTGTATAATGGTGAACTATCTTTTCACTCTTGTTATCCGTAAATCTATCACAATTAAGGTAAATAGATCCATAAACCGATCAAAGTTGCAATTTTGCCGCTGTGGAACCGAAACAATTAAAAAAAAAAAAAAGAGAAAAAGAAAACCTGCAGCAGCACAAAGCGGCAAAAGACAGAAAACAAAAGAAAAAAAAAAAAAAAAAGAAAAGAGACCATGTCAATTCTACACTACCACTTCCTATGAGTGTGGGTGTAAGGGGAGAGCTAGATGGACAGCAATTGAAAGATAGAATCCTTGATACTGACGCGCACTATCTTGATAATCACTTACACATTCTATATCATCACATCTCATAAATGGTTAACGCTAAATCCGTAAAACTTCATCTTCTTAAATCTATGACGTCAGAACTATTCTCTTTTTTTTTTTTTTTTGGCGATATTAATAAGCTTTCCTCTTCATGTCTTTTTAACGTCGTAAGCATAAAATGGCATGCGTCTGAGCGTATTTGGGACCAAATAATGCCCCAGTCACACTCCAGCCTCGATTGTCCCATAGCATTGTACGCCTTGAGGTGTAATGAAGCATGAATGAATCTTGGTCTCTTTTTTTCGTTTCCGTTTCTTTTTTTGAGCGCAACGCGCGATTGTGTTGCAAAATCTAATTCCGGAAAATTTTAAAAACAATAAAGCTCTTCTGTTTATGAGTCGAATCAGGTCACAAGATGCCAAATATGGTCGGTACAAGGGTGGGGTATAGCGCTTTTTCAATCAAATTATGTAAATTTGGATCGAGGAGCTCGAAACGAATCTATCAAGACCCATTATGTCAATGTTAAAATAAAGTTAATGTGCAGTCATACTGTGTTAAAGGCGGAGAAATGTTTTTTTTCTCGAAATAAACAAAACAAAATAAAAACGGAGCCCCGTCATGCAGAAACTATTACCCATGTTCGTGTTACAAAACAGGAGTAGGCTTGCCATGAGCGCGTGACCATGGCCCGACTTTGAATTTTATCAGAGGTACGTAAGTCTGAATGAAAAGACACTCTTACGCAACGGACGTATCAGGTGTGTTAAACTTTACTGTCCACACTATTCTTACATTGTAATCTCAACGTCGTAACGTCACAGCAGTATGCCACACTACTTGTTAAAGATCTTACTTAAAGATTATGTCAATTTAACATTTTTTATTTCATGGAAAAATCAAATGCTGCGAAATATTCCCTAGTGTATGTGTGACTAAGCACAATGTGCAACTGGCGGTAAGAAAAGAAAAGACTTTTCCCATATTCTATCTTTGATTCCACTCACGTCTTGTGCGTGAGCAATGGAAAAGTAACGTAATGAAAAAAAATAAAAAAAATAAAAATTGAAAAAGAAAAAAGAAAGTGCTCCCAGACAGGGAATTGAACCCTGGTCTACCATGCGACAAACGGTAATTCTAGCCACTAAACTATCTGGGACGATTTTTTTCAAAAAATTTAGGCAGATCTTTAAATAGGTACAATTTGTTCACATTCCAACTAACTATTTTCCAAACTATGGACATCAAAAGATGTCTCAAGTGCTCTGCAAGACTCTGAAATCAAAGCTAAAGTATCTTAGGTTAGTCGTGGAATGTTTAAGGTCTGCTATTTCTACCAAAGCATCATCGTTCATTGGTATTTTTATTGAAGGATTTGAAGTTTTGACTCCAAGTAGATCTTCCTTATGAATAGCCAGGTTTGGCTATTGCATGGACTTGTCGTATTGTAGCATTGATCATCCTATGAAAGCACAAGGAACGCCACTGTTAAATTTTGTACCCAAAATATTGCGCCCAACTCATGGCAAAATGTTGATCTCTACAATCAATCTCCAAACCAATAACTTTTTATTAAAACATTATCAAGCCTATATCCCAAAAACCAGATCCATTTCTACTAGCACCTTTACTTCAAGTTTGTGAAATCAATTTCGCCTTCTCTTTCTCCATGGCAGTGAGCATCAGCACCACATGTACAGGAATCCTTCACACGCTTTCCACATGGACAAGCGTCTGATGCTGCCGGCGTCACATTTTCTTGAGCAGCCTTTTCACAAACACAGTGGTTTGCCGGGTGTGCTCCACATGAGCAGGTAGCCTTTTGAGCGCATACGCAATGAGCAGCAGTACAAGAAGTCATATTATATAATTCAGTGTTTAGTTGAAGAAGAAAAAGAATAAATTGAATGTTAGTTTTCGATGGAAATTGAGGTCTATTTATATCAAAATTGGGAACAGGATTTCTTTTTTTTTCTATCTGTTTTTTTTTTGTTTTTTTTTTTTGCAGTCATTTTTGCAACGATTTCAGACCGCATGATTATACTTTCTTTTTGTGCAATCCAACCAACCAATCAGAATTGAATAATTTGTCATCACAGATAGGAAAGCTTGAACAAGGAATCTGAATCAAACTTTCATTGTAGCTCGTTTGAGCGATGTTATCAATAAGACTGAAATAGGAATAACTAAACAGAGAAACACTCTCAAAATTCTTGGCATAGGTAACTCGTTGCAACTGATAGGGGTTGTTTTCGAACCTTATTATTTTGGAAATGCAAATCGAAATAAGGTTTAACAAAGAATCGTGTAAACATCATCGTTCACAACTTGTGAAATAATACATTAAACTAGAATTGAAACACCTATTTACCCTCTACTGCACATCAAATTTGGCAAATTTCCTCCAGCGCTCTTTTAAGGGACCCAAGTCGCCAGTCAAGGTCTCCGTAGTTTCCCTTGTAATATCCCTGGTCAAATTTGTGGTAGTTTCCGACTCGTGGACTTTTGTTGCCATCTCTGAGCCTTCCTTCAATTTGGATATACCCTCAGCATAAATTTGGGAAATCGACCGCGAATGCTCGCTATTGTCTTCGTTTTGCACAGGACCTTTCGATTCGCGTGTTGCTTCATGCGATCTATCTAGAAAAACGTTCTCCTCCTCAGCAGTGTCACGCAAATCTTCGGATCTTTGTCCTGATGATCTTCTCTTATTCGATGATGCCTCTGATGAAGGGGAAGTTTTTGACCGTTTTCTGCCGCTTTTCAATTCAATTGTGGTTAGTTCTGGTAATGGATCCTCACTTGATTCACTATCTAACAAGGCTGGACTTTTCTGACTAGTCTCGCTTTCTAATTTTGGTGGTTGTAAATCATCGTCATCATCATCATCATCCTCCTCCTCGTTATCGATATCGCCACGAGTAGCTACTAGTGGTGTATTGGTAGATGAATTACTATACCGCGACGAGGAATACTTCGGGGTGTTTGGGAACTTTTGTATATTTCCTTCACGATCAGAGCCGAAGCCCGGTGTTTGCTGCTGACTTGGAACTCTTGACGCTTCGCTTCCTATCTCTGACTGCAAGATCGGAGGCTCAGGGAAAGTGGGCGAAGAGTTGAGAAGATCTTGAAGTGCCGGATTCCTAGTGGTGATCGGGGTTCTCTGTTTGCGAGGTGAAATTGATATCCTGTGGATGGAATCTAGCGACTGACGTATAGTTTGAAATCGAGTTGGAGAATTTTTCGACTGACGTCTCGTGGGAGACAACCTTATAGCCCCGGAATTGGGGGGCTCTAAACTGACACTGTCAGGAAGTCTTACCATCCTTTGAGTTGCTGCAAATTTCGTCCTATTCAGTTCTGCTTGCTTTTGGCCCCTGTGAGGAGTCGATGCTGACAATTGCCTATTAAGATTCTGTTGTTCAGTTGACCACGTTGCCGTATCTTCTTCAGCAAGATGTTTCAAATCGGGACGTCTGGTGTCAAGAGATGTGAGTGTCTTGGGTTGCTCTTCAATTTCCTCGTCTTCCATTTCACTCAAAAAGTTCGAACTCGATTGTACTTCATTTATGGGGGCTTCATAACTGTTCAACACAACATTGGCTGACTGCTCGAAAAACTTCTTCCAAAATCCTGAATTATGCCAGACTTTCCAACTTTCAACACCGTACTCTTGAATAGCAGGTTTCAATTTGTCGTTTATGATTGCATTGGCTCGCGAGATATTCTTATCGATATCTTGAAGCACCAAGGTGGTGTCCTGATCTAATTGTTCCAAAACTTTTCTCGCATTGTAATCTTCCAGTGACGCAGCTCCTGATTTTCTTCTCGACGTAGGAGGTGCTATCGATAGCCTCTTCATGTTCATCGAATTTGAGAGAATGTAACTCTTGTATGTCCTTGTTTGTTGTCACTTTCATCAAAAAAAAAAAAAAAAAGAAAAAAAGGACATTTGATATTACTTTTTGACGCGTTCCGCACGACTTCCTAATAGCTACCACAACGAATTTTCCATCATCGACCTTCTCTTGCAAGTTGAGTCTTTGCTTGTATATCTTAACTTGACTCTGTCTTTATTCAACACACACGGTTATGGGAAATATCATGTCGGTATCTTTTGCTCCAGAGTGTACTCCTGCTAAAAATGCTTACGACGACTGTTTCAACAAGTGGTATACCGAAAAGTTTTTGAAAGGCAAATCCATTGAAAATGAATGTACCGAGTTTTGGGATACGTACATCACTTGTATCAATGCTAATTTAGCAAAACAAGGAATAAAACCGATGCTAGATAAAGCTAGGGAAGACCAACCTTTTAGTCACGAAGAAATACAGCAAAGCTTGAAAGAGCTGGACAAGTGAGAAACGAGTGCACGTAGGATGAGTTGTCATTGTTGTGGTTGGACGATACTCTTGTACATAGATACCAATGAAATGGGAAATTGATGATATTTGAATCCTTGTAGTCAGATTCTGCAAAAAAGCCGTGATAATTTCAACGCCGTCCATTGAAAATTTCATTTTTGTCAGAAAATAAACAACGATAACTTTTCTTAGTCTCACCACGCAAACATGTTGGTTGAGGAAGTCCCTAAATCCAGCGGCGCAAATGCTTCTACAATATATTTCAGCTCATCCATCAATCTCACGGCGAGGCTGTTGGGGGGAAATAGACAAAGGGGTGATGAGAACGGTGATGGACCACCAAATAAGAAAGGAAGGACAAAGGTCAATTACAATCTCAACCAATTATTCAATGCACAAACTCAGGCCAACAATGAATCCCAAAACAGCGGCCCTTCAAAATCAGCCCAACAAATCCAGTTGGAGAAAGTGGTGCAAAAGAGGTTAGTGGAGTTGAGTCAAGAATCTTCAGCCAAAGGATTCGAGTTGCCTAAAAATTTCACTTACACAAGTATCCACTCGAACAAGGATAATCGAACGAGCTCACAAAAGTCTAGACTAGGGAATACACCAGCTACTAAGAGAATCTTGGCAGCCCGCAGAAACTTGAATCTGTACTACGAAGAGGAGCGGAATCTAATTTCAATCAATACAATCCTTTCCTCGAGTTTTCAATTCATTGACGTCATTGACATTAAAGATTCTAAAAATACGACTACGGAAAGATCAAGACCAAGGGTGAGACTATGTTGTATATGTGGCTCGAAATCAAGTTACTCGAGATGTCCACTTTGTGGGTTGTACTACTGTACCGTTAAGTGCAACAAAATGCACCAAGAGCTGAGATGTGCATAACATAATTAGCATCTATATTCAACTACATTTCCCAGCCTCCACAATTATAGAGTTTTTTTCTTTTTTGATTCTTTTTTTTTTTGGACAGTCCGTTTTGAAGTTTACTTCCTTTTACAAAGCATGCTATTTGTTTGTCTCATATGATGAGGCTCTTCTCCATGATGTTGTTTATCTCACTATGTTACTCGTTTGAGCAGTCCTCAAACTCAAGGGACTATGTGAAGCTAGTACAGTTTGCAAATTTGGCGTCAGTGGCGTATTGCGTAACCAAGGGGCTTTCAACGGGTGTTTTGAGTGATCCAGACACGCACTGTCCGTTGAATGCCTGCAAAAATTCAATCCTTCAAGATGTCGAGATTGTGCGGATTTTTGACTTCAACAGGTTGAATGAAGTTGGTACCGGGTTTTACGCTTTGGACCATCGACGGAAAGCTATCATATTAGTGTTTCGAGGATCAGCATCGCGACGTGATTGGGTTACTGATTTGAACTTTTTCCCAATAAAGTATACGCCCATAGTTTATGATGAGAATTTCAAGGATGGCGTACCCTTCATTCACATGGAATGCAAAAATTGCAGAGTGCATCGCGGGTTTTACAACTTTCTTAAAGATAATTCGGGTGCAATAATCAGTGCAGGTGTGAAGATGAAGCAAGAATATCCCGATTATCAATTCTTGATTGCGGGTCATTCGCTAGGTGCTGCATTTACAGTGATGAGTGGGATTGAATTTATGTTGTTGGGTTATGATCCATTAGTTGTGACATTTGGAGGTCCCAGAGTTGGGAACCAAGAGTTTGCCAATTTTATCGACACAATTTTTGATTCAGAAGAAGTTGCAAAGGAGATAGAAAATAGCCACGATTTTTCCAGAGGGTTCATCAGAGTCGTCCACAGACATGACATAATACCCTCCTTACCTCCCATGCTCGCACATGCTGGCTATGAATACTTTATAGACAAACGAGATCTACCGCACGAGGAATCAGATGTTGACAGAAGGGGCTTGGATCACAGTGGGTTTTTTGGAAAGCTAGATGTTGCAGTACAAGCAACAGGCTTGAAGGACCTCAACATCAAGCCATCTACATTTTGGCCAAACAAATTGGGCAAGTTCGAACACACCCATTATTTTAGAAAAATTACAAGTTGCCAGCACTAATACCATTTACTTACAAATATCTATCATCTCGTTTTTATTGCAAACTTTGTAGCGAGTCTTGCCCAATTTATCACCTTCCTTTATCTCGTAATTGTCCAATTTCTTCCAGTCATCCCAATAAATAACATCACTGAGTGATTTGAAAACATCAGAATCTATAATATCTTTACCCTCTTCTACTTTGATGTAGTCGCCATTGGTCAAGTCTTCCAAGATATTTTGGGCCGTATCAAAGGAATCCATCATTGTCACTGCGATGACACCCTTGGGCCCATTTTTTATCCAGCCTGAAGTATACCAACCTTTCTTGTATGTCAAGTTTTCCTTAGTCTCGCCCTTTGATATTTGAGAAAGAACTCGTCCGCCTCTATTATGCAATTTGTTATCATCAAACCAGATGCCAATCTCCTCAAACCCCTCAATTGAGGTCCCTTGGTACCCAATGGACAAGATGACAAGTTCATTTTTGAGCTCAACAAACTTGTCTGTAGGTTTGACTCTTCCGGGAAGAAGTGGATCATCAACCGGCTCATTTTTGACAAACCTTGTTTCTTTTATCCCCCCATCTCTCGTTATAAATTCGACCGGTGAAAGTAGATATCGCAATGTCCATTTTCGCCTCGATTTTTCTTCTGCACTAATAGGCTTGTTGTATTTTTCAAGTAGCGAAACTCTACGCTTGTCCACTCTACCTAGTTTTTTTGTGGCAATTCTTTCCAATAATCCTTCTTCCAAAGGCTCAAATTTGGCATCTTTCAACTCAAACAATTCTCTAATTTCTTTATTCGAAAATGCAGATTCTAGTATACCTCGTCTAGCAACAATGTTGACATTCTTGATTGTGCTTTTCTCCAACAACTCTTCAGCTTCCACCGAAATATCAGTTGCATGCCAGTGTTGCTTTGGATCAGCTAAGAGCATACGGGCAACATCCAAGGCCACGTTCCCGTTTCCAATAATTGTTACATCTTCTATTTTGTCCAATGGCGGCGGCTTGTAAGGGTTTTCTGTATTGTAGCAATCAGGATGACCATTGTACCAATTAACAAACTGCCTTGCTGAAATTATGCCCGGTGAATCTGTTCCTCGAACATTTAATTTATTGTCAGCCGAAGTACATCCGTATGCAAGAACAATTGCGTTGTAGTTCTCCTCTAACTCCTTCAACTTGATATCCTTGCCTATCTCTACGTTACCAATGAATCTCACACGATGCCTATCAGAGTCCTTGAAATCGGCCATAATGTTAGTCATGAACTCTTCGCAATTCTTCACCTCAGGATGATCTGGAGCAACACCATACCTGCTTAGTCCGAACGGTGTGGGTAATTTCTCAAAGAAATCTAAATGAATTTGTTTATCTGGGCTTGATTTGTTGAGTAGATGGTGCGCCGTGTAAAACCCACCTGGGCCCGTACCTATTACAGCAACCTTAAACGGATTGAGCAACCTCGTGGCGGTTGCTAGACCTCGTACTCTGAAGATAATTGACATCTGCACACGAGGAAGAGGCAACTTGCAATACAGACAAAGAGTACAGAGCGAGAATTCAAAGATGCCGACCCTTTCCCGAAGGAGCTATCTGAAATCTGTAAATTTCAAATAGAGCGTTGAGAGAGCCTCAAAGATCTAGAGATAATCAAACGCATCTGAAAACTCTTCCTTCTACATTTACGGGAGTACAGCAGTCACGACGATGGTACACCCAACCCCTTTGGGTGTGGTTGCACGTCCGATCCTGTCGTTCTGTCGCCCCTCACTATAGTTCCTCGTGTAATCTTTTATTAAAACATAAAAATATAAGCTGTCGTAACTCCTTCTATTTCTTTCCAATATCTTCCATTTTTCACACTTGTTGCCATCATTTGTAATACCAAACAATATGAAGCCCAAACCTTCTAAGGATTCATGCTAAAAAGACTGAAACATCCTGTGGGGCTAGTTGCATTCTCCCATCATCTAATACCTTGCAAACGATAACATCAAATATTCTCTCATGAAAAGGATCCGAATAGATTACTTCAACTTCTTCTTTGGTCTCAACTGGTTAGAGTGACCACACTTTCTCTTACGACAGTTGGTTGCTCTTGGTGGCAATCTAGCGTAACAGATACGGCAAATGGATTTTTCACAGTTGTATTTGGAAGCTAATGCTTTCAACGATGGTTCAATCATGGTTGGTTGTGAGAATGATTAGTGAAAGTTGATGGAAATTCAAGTGCGCTGACATTTTCACCAGTTCCTTTTTTTCTCTTTCTTTCTTTCTTTCTTACCTCAATGCGCACAAAAGTGAAAATCACGTGCGTTATAGTAGTCAAAAAATGACATAGGGCAAAACCCTAAAACAATCACGTGAAGAGGAATTGGTCCAGTGCATTGGCATGTCGAAAGAGAGGACAGAGAGAGAGAGAGAGAGAGAGAGAGAGGAGACCGTAAAGAGGAAGGAGGTAGGGGAGGAGGCAGATGAACAGGGGGAGGCGAGGGTAATTGAGGTACCTCATAGTAAAGTTATTCTCGACTTGACTGTTTAATCGTGCAAAGTAAAAAGTAACTCACACTGCTTCCCCCAGCAAGCCTCAGACAAGCTGGTTTAAAGATTTACCTCTTACGTATCTGTCAATTAGAAGGGATTATAGAGTCAGCTCTACAGGATGGAAATGACTGTTTCCTAAGATGGTGTACCTCAGAATATATCGAAGTTGAAGGTAAAGTATGCCGACTTGTGAGACCCATCATTCCTGTTGAAGAAAGTCAATAGCCCGAATCATTTGTCATCGAAACCGGCTGAAGAAGTCTTTCATCAAGCTGGAGTCCCTCCTTCATGATGGTGTTTCGAATTTCACCAAAATGTGCTAGCTTTTTGTGCGGCTCGGTGATGGAGAGAAAAATAAACAAGCTGCGAATAATAACAATATAAAGTAGAACATACATATATATATATAGTACAAGTGTAGTTGACCCATACATCAACACAATTCTGAGCCATTGCCAAGTATGGGTGAAGATAACTCATCAAGTGGCAGACAAAAGCAAGATGACGCAAATTTGGCCAGTGGTGCGTCAAATCCCGATGCTTCCACAATTGACAACGCCAGCCATCTCCAACACACAAATCCCGACGCATCAAGCCAACCAAACATCGCCAACACTTATCAATCACATTCAAACCTCAAAGGACAAGAAACTGATGAAAATAAATTATCAACAAATGACGACGAAGATGACGGACAAGCTGCTGACGAACTGATTCATGAAGACCCACACACTTCATTTCTACAACCATCAGGTTCTGACAAACAACAATACACTACACCTTCAAAGTCATTACCCCCACTCAAAGATCAGGACCCTATTGAAACACCAAAACTGTTCAAAGTGGCTGCAGACAGTGAACATCGTGAGCTTTACAACCCTGTTCAAGGAGTAGCTAGCTCGCCGATCGGAAACGATATTCTAAATCATGAAGACGATATTCTAGGTGATGATTTGAAGAGTATTGTAAAAGACTTTCTTGCCATTGATGACTGTACAGTGGGGACCGTTAAGGATACTCAATTTTTGGAAACGCTCGCGACAAAGGCAAAAGAATTTGCAAGACTACAATCACAACGAAATCAACTTAGACTAAAACTAGAGGAGTCATTTACAAGTAGTAGAAACACAATCAACTCACTTCAACAGAAGTATTCGGAGGCGGAAAATTCCTTACTTTCGTTGCGGGATGAGAATTCGAAGTTGTCCACAAAGTGCAAAAAGCAAGAGATCAAAGTCAGAGAGCTAGAGCTTTCCAATCAACAAATTTCTGCTCAGGTGAATGAGTATCAAAGATTGAATTCGGAAAAGACTTCAGAATTGAAGGAATTGAATGAGAAGCAAAGCTATCAGGAGATCAAGCACATGGAAAAGCTCGAGGAGTTGTCTTCTGCTAACGTGGCTCAAAGTAAGAAGCTAAACCAAATAACAATGGAGTACAATCGATCGGAAAATGAAAAGTTTGCAATCAGTTTGCTGTTAACAAAGGCTCAGAATGAAGCAAATTTTTTGAGAGACCAAAAACTCTGGTACGAAGAGCAACTAAAGTCCACGCAACTGAAATACACCGACTTATTACAGAAACACGAGTTAGGTCAATCACGAGCAGAATCTGACGTGAATCGATTAACTGTGAAATCCGAGAGTCTTGGCGAGTTGGTTAAGCGCCACGAAAACACAATTGCAAACTTGGAAGCATCTTTGAGAGCAGAATGTGAAAAAAAGTCTGCCATCGAAGCTGAACTCAGATCAGTCAAATCAAAGATTGTAGAGGAATCGAATGCAAATCAAGACTTGTTGGAATTAACCAAGCTTCAAAGTGAACAGCGCGCCGCTAGAATTGAGCAGTTAGAAAACTATTCCGAGGAACTCAAAAATAAAGCAAATGAGAATCTACATGTTCTTAACTCAACAATTTCTTCACAGGAACAAACTATTGCTGAATTAGAGGAAAAGCTCGAGAGAATGGAGTCAGCATTGAGCGCAGATATTGGTAACACACAGGTGCAGATCCTTGACTCAGATGCTAGTGCAGAGCAGTCGGGTATTTCATTACCCTCTTTATTTGCCGAATACAATCATGTTAAAAAGCAACTTTCAGTTGAAAGAATGCAACGAGAAAGCTTAGAAACGGAATTGGAGAGGTTTATCAACGAGCTTGAAGCGAGAAAGCCCGCCATTGCCAACTACAAAGACCAAATTCAATTTTATGAATCATTGGTCTCGGAGTTGAATGGAAAAATTGATAATCTTTGTGCAGATATTGTGTCGCTTGAAAAGGACCGCAAAAGACTTAGAGCCAATGGAGCCGACTACGAAAAAGAAATTTCTTCCTTGAAACAAGTAGCTAAGGATTTGGGAAAACAGATTTGCTATTTCCTTATTCATTCGCAGGTAAGGGACAACAATGATGAACCGCTTTCATTGAGCGAGCGTGCCAAAATTGAAAAAATACTCGATCGAACAGGTAACTTTGAAGATGCGTTTGAGTCAGACTCTGACAAATTAGTGTCGGAAAGGTTGCTTAATTTCAAAGACATAATTCAACTTCAACAGAAAAATCAAGAATTGCTAATTGCAGTCAGACTGTTGACGAAAAAGTTGGAAAGTTCGGAAGAAGAGGGACCTAGCTCACAAGCTATGGAAGAAGCTCGAGAAGTGATCATGACCTTGGACAGTGAATTAGAAAGTGCTAATTCAAAGCTTCAAGCAGTTACAAGTGAAAGAGATGCTCTTCGAAAACTCAATAATAAGATGGCAGATGGTGCTGCTGGAGATGTCCCGATAACTGATTCCGAGTTAACCAAAAAAGCCAAAGAGTATGAAGCTGTTATTGAAAAAATGAGAAAGGAGTTTTCTGAGTCAGTGAAGAAATTGAACAAAGAGTTGAAGAAAGCCAACGAAAGCAAGGATGACTTTGCAACGCAACTCTCAGTTGCAAACAAAACAATTGAATTGACAGAGGCTAAATTAATTACTACTCAAAAATCAATCGACTTGGCAAATGCAGAGAAGAGCCAAGTCAAGTCCGAACTAGAATTTTGGAACAAACAAGCACAAAAGTTGGAAAGCCAATTGAGGCAAAAATCGCAAGATTTCCGGGAATTGCAATCGAAATTTGAGCACAATAGTACTTCATTGGTCACATTACAGCAGGAAAAGGATTTTGCAAACCGAATGCAATTGTCACTTAATAATGAACTCTCATCTTTGAGAGATGATAAGATGAAATTGAACGAATTTGTGGTCAATTTGCAAACGATGTTGAGGGAGAGAGACGATTCAATAAAGGAAATCACTGCTAAATTCAATGATTCATCTGAGGCATTGCAGAACTTACAAAGGAAGCTCGACGAAAAGGAGGAGAGACTTCAAATCTTGTCCAACCAATCCGAAAAAACATTCAAAGCTCAAAACAGTAAGTTAGAACAAATCAATGACTTGAGCTTGCAATTGTTGCATTTGAAGAATGAGGTTTCAGAAAAAGACAAGCGCGTGGTGGAGTTGAGTGCTAGATTAAAGGATGCAACACTCAATGCATACAGTAAACCAGAAGTCAAACAGCTACAAGAAGATTTGAAAACTGCCGGAGAAAGACTTGTCGAGTTGACGAAATTGGTTAATGATAAGGAGGCAGCTATTTTAGACAAGGTTAAAACGTTCAATGAAGAAAAGTCTCAATTGGATGCACGGTATGCTGAACTTGCTAAAGAGAAGAGGAATGCAGAAGAGGAAGTTGTCAAGTTGAAAGAGGCAAATGAGATCAAGTCACAAGAGTTGGAGAAAGCGAGGAAAGATTTTGTTGCTGATTACAACACATTGGAACGTAAGTTTGCCGAGGTTGAGGTTAAAGCTGAAAAATTTGACAGTTTGGAAAAAATTTACAATGACAGACTTAATGATGCTAACGAGAAACTTGAATTGGAAAAGAGAACGGTTATTAGTTTGCAAAGCAAGTTGGATGAAGAAGCTGAAAAGAATTCGTCATTGACTGATGAGGTTGAGAAAATAAAGGCTAAAGTCACAAACAATGAAGTTGTTATTACACTGTTAAAGCAGGAAAAAGAATCAATCAACAAAAAATTAAAGGATCTTGAGGGAGAATTAAGTATTAGTAGGTTGGAGTTGGAGAATGAAAAGAGTCTCTCAAAGACGAAACGGGCCGAGTTGGAAGATCAGAATAGGGTTTTGCTAGATCGCTTGGAATTGGCAAGTACCTCTGGAAACAGCGATGACGGTGATTCAAGTGATATAAAACAGGTTATTGAGTATCTTCGCAGGGAAAAGGATGGAAGCGATGTGAAGTTGGCTTCAGTTGAGGAAGAGAATTCCAACTTGAAAGTCAAGATTGAAAGTTTACAAAACGAAATTTCCACACTTCAATCCTCAAAGGACAATGCAAGCGTCTTAAATTTGAACAACAATGAAAAAGAGCAAAGTCAGTTAGCAACCCAATTGCAACAAATTTACAACTTGAGAGAACAAGTAAACAATTTAACGCATGAAACCAAGAGAAAAGATTCTGAGCTCGAAAAGTTGAAGGCCGAGTTCACCAAGGTAAAGACTGAGTTGGATACCGTCAAACAAAGTTCCCAGACACAAAGCACCCAAGTTGGAATTGATCAACAAAAATTGAGATTGCTAGAAGAGGAGAATACGCGTCTTAAAACCATATCTACAAACGCACTTTCCAAAAAGATGGAGGAACCCAAGGGTCCATCTCCAGAAATTATCAAAATGCAAGAGCAAATGGATAGATTAAAAAACAAGGCCAACAATAGAATCATGTCATTGAGACAAGAACATGCAGATAGGGAAAAAGAAATCACTGATGCAAAAGATAAGGAATTGAAGCAGTTGAAGGAGAAGATTGAAGCATTGGGCAAAGAGACCTCTGCTGGAGGTCAAGATAGTAAAGCACAACAAAGGGTTGAAGAATTGAATAAACAGTTAAATGCAGTTAAAGAGGAAAATAGCGGATTGATACGCGAGAAGAATGAATTGGTTAAGAAGTTGTTTGGTTTAGAGGCCAATTTGAAGACCCAGTTCAATAAGGAGAAGGAAGAATTGCGTAAATCCCTAGTATCATTCAACCCCGGTGGTTCAACTGATGAAATGAAGACCAAGTATGCTGAGCTTCAGGAGCTCTTGGAAAAGACCAAGAATGAAGTGCAGCTGCGAATTGAACAGGAGAGGACAAAGACAGCACAAGAGGTGGAAAAAAAGTTTGAGTTCAAGTTGAAAATGTTGACAAGAAAGGTTGAAAGGTTTGAGTCGGAGGCAAAAGCAAAACAACCACAGGATCCAGATCAAGTAAGAGCTCCTGTTAGAGCAGCAACACAGCCAGCAACACAGCCAGCAACACAGACAGCAACACAACCAGCAACACAACCAGCAACACAACCAGCGGCTCACCCAACAGTTCAACAACCGAGTCAACCGAACTTGCAAACACTCCCAGCGGGCTCAGCGTTCGGTAAACTTTCTTCAACCAACCCAGCACCTCAAGCACCATCACAGTCGGACTCATTTGGAACTGGAAGTCTACCAATCCAGCAACCAGGATCCACTAATCCTTCCAACTTAGATAAAACATCTGTTGTAGGAGGCGATCCACCGAAGAATACCGTATCATCGAAAGAGAAACAAAGCGTTTTTACATCATCAGATGATAGCAAGACTGATCCCGAGAGATTAGTCAATGGAGCTACAGTGGTTGATAAACCTGGTCAGAGTATCTCTACAACAGCACCAGCTCAAAATCAACCACAATCCCAGCCACAAGCCCAGCCACAAGCCCAGCCACTTGCTATACCTACCTCTCAAACTGAAGTTCCCAAAGTAGGAGATACATCACTAGCAAATCCTACAAATACGCATTCAAAAGCACAGGAAGCAGCAGAGGATGATCAAGAGAATCAGTCACCACCGCAAAATCAAACACCTACGACACAACCACAATCTACAACTACACCCATTGCTCAATCAGAACCTGCGAAAACGACATCCATCGTGTCCCCCGTCGTTTCTGGCACTGAATCTGCATCGACTGTGAAACGACCTGAGATTGCTCGTACCGAGTCGCGAAAGCTCAAGATTGCCGAGGAGAAGCAAGGTGGCTCACCAATCAATGAGCGCAAGAGATCTTTCCAAGATGAGAGACCAAAGGTTAAAAAGACGAGACAAGAATGAGGACACTGTGATAATTGTACGCACATGTCGAAAGGGTTGCGAAATCCTCAATCAGCTGATTTAGTCAAAGAATTTGTTTGTATAGTCTTGATAATACATGTAATTATTGTTAGATTTTTGCTGTATGTAAGATATTTGAATTTGAAATTAAAGGAACGGGGAATGGGGGGGGGAAGGAATATCCAATGCACCTGAAAATGAGAATGGAAGTAACTTTGTGGCACTTGTTGCGAGGCTGCAATTTGCAAGTTGTAATCCCGGTGAGTTTAGGACTGAATATAGACAAGTTCACGTTTGGTTTGGTGATACTTCCTTCCTTCCCCCCGCCTCCAATAAACAAAAAACCAGTACAACTTTTTGCAAAACAAGGCGGTGAAGTTTTGTCCAATCAAACAGTGGTGACATCTACACGTGGCTGAACGCTCGTTTGATTTAGATTCCCATCTCCCAATCCTTTTTTTATTTTTTAGTCACACTAAGTAACCACTAATATTTAAACTTTAGCCTTTTTTAAATGGTTATTGTAAAAGTGGGGATTGATCGGATTCAAACAGTACTATCGACATTATGAGAAGGACATTGTGCGATAATGCCATATTTGGAAATACCCAACAAAGACTAATATAATCAAAAGAGGGGAGGCGTTTACAACTGTAACAACAGTGGACGTTAAACATATTAGACATTGTATTGAGAGATAAGACACTCTAATATGCTTTTGTTGGGTATTTCGAAAAAGTTCTTTATGGCCACAACTGTAACGATCAGGGAACAGATCTTTTTTCAGAGTGGGGATTTCCAAAATTTTAAATGTGTAGATAATAAGTCAAATATTGAACGGGCTCTTGCGTGGAACTAAAGTTTGAGTCGGCCTTGTCTATATTGCAACCCCCATCGAGGGTACACACTTAGCCAACTGAAACCAGACTGTTTGAGGTATAAAGACTAGCTGAAGGGACAGAGTGTACATCAGCCTTGACAAAGGACATTTCAGCGCTCGTTTTTTTCTAAACTTCAAGACAATATTCTCTTCTCTTGAAAAGTGTCTTTCATTTTCGCAGCTATCATATTTTGCGCTCCCAAGAAAATAAAAAATATAAGAAAAAAACCTTGTCGATCTGGGTTGAATTCTTTGAGGGATTAATTGTACAAGTCCGAGGCGACATAATCCCTTAAGCAAAATATTATGAGTTTCAAAGTGATCTTGTTTTGTTTCAGAGTAATATTTTTGTTGTTTTGTATTGCATCTGTTTTGAACGGGTGAATTCGCTTAGTGTGATTGGCAAGATCTCCTCTTTTCATGTAAAGAAAACTTCATTGCGTGGTACTCCATTTCGATTACACGGTCAAAAGAACAGTAGCCCTGTTTCAGTCAGGATATCATAACTAGAGTATTAACAGAAGTATATCATTATCACTGAAAGTGGAGAAGGAACGATACCCAATTCCAACTTGTGAGAGTTTTCCTCCATTATGCACATTATCCTCCTCCCCCTCTTTTTATCCATTTACAATTTTTACTTGGCACTCAGAGAGTTGCCACGTCAATGGAGCTTTCCACAATAGTGTTATTCTATGACTAGACTCACTTGCACGGCTCTATTTTGTATCATTTTTGTTGTCCTTTTTTTATTCTTTGCAATTCTTGGCCACAGCTCACTTTATATTTTTTTTTCTTATCTATTACAAACAAGCTTTATTTCAAACTCATTCAAATGATTGGGCCAAACAAAAGTTGCAAAAAAGAATAAAAAAAAAAAAAAACAAAGGATTATGGTGTTAGCTCCCTTTTCTGGATGTACAAGTAACCTCTTAAAGCTCTGGGAGGTAATGATTGAGAGGGGAAGGGAACCCAAATACCGAAAAAAAAAAAAAAAAAAGAGGTGATATTAGTACAATTGGTTGCAACAATCGGAGTTTCCCCACTTTTTTTGTTTGCTTTACTATGTTCAACACTGTGAAGAGGTTACAAGTGCTCTAATGCAATTCATCAACAGTGTTGGATAAAAGTCTATAAAAGGAGGCCAATTTAACCCTTGTGGTCTCAACTAAATATGGGTGCTTTTTTCTTTCATCCATCAACTTCCGTTCCAAACAAACAAGACCAAGTTGCTCTTCACCTTACAATGTCTTCCAAAACGAATCACAAACTTACACAACTGACAGTGGCTATTGATTCGCAAGAGAATGTGTACGACTCAAGCAGGGAATCCCATATTGACCTGCCATATACTGAAGAGGAAAAGAAGCCCTTTTGGCAAAGATTTAGATTCAGAGTCGACACTACTGGTCACCCACCACAAATCTTCAATGTCACCTTATACTTGAGCATCTTTGTGTTTGGGTTGTTTGGAGCTGCTCGAGGTATCGATGAAGGTACAGTTTCTGGAAACCTTGCCCTACCAGCATTCATCAGGAAGTTTGGTTTGAGTGATGAAACCAAAACTGAACATGAGATTGCCACTTTGAAATCAAACATTGCATCAATGGTTCAGTTAGGTTCGGTAGGTGGAGCGCTCATTGCTATGAAATCTGTGGATTTCTTTGGAAGACTTAGAGCGTTACAAGTTGTGTGCATAATTTGGTTGATTGGCGTTTCAATTCAAATTTCGTCTCAATCAGTGGGCCAATTGTATGCTGGTAGGTTTATTGAGGGGTTGGCCATTGGACAAACAACGTCAATTGGACCCGTGTACATGTCTGAAGTTGCACCTAGTCCTATTCGTGGTATGGCCAATTGTATTTTTGCCGGTGCCGTGTATTTGGGTATCATGATGGGATATTTTGCCAATTATGGATCGGCTATTCATATTCCGGCAACTTTGAGTGATGGTTCAGTTAATGACAAACAGTGGAGAGTTACATTTTGCACCAAGTTTATTATGGCAGGACTCATTTTTGTTGCGTCATTCTTTTGGTGTATTGAAAGTCCTCGTTGGTTGTTGAAACATGGCAAGGCCCATGAAGCTGTTGAAAAGTTGAGCAAATTAAGGAAATTGCCAGTTGACCATCCATACATCATTGCTGAGATTAGTGATATTAATGAACAAGTTATGGCTGAAAAGGAAGCAGCGAGAAGTTCATCCTTGATTGGCAATTTCAAACAAATTGTCACGGTCAAGAGCATTGCTTATAGATTGATTATTATTGGTGGTGGAAGTCAAGTATTGGGCCAATGGAGTGGTGCAAATGCTGTCACCATATATGCCTCTGAGTTGTTTGCCCTTGTTGGAGTTACTGGTATTGACAAGTTGAAGATGTCAGCAGTGTTGGGTGTGGTCAAGTTTTTCTCGGCATACTTTGCAGCTTTCTTCCTTATTGACATTTTGGGTAGGAAGAGGTCACTTTACATTGGAATTTGTGGTCAAATGTTGTGTTTATTGTACTATGCGATTTTCTTGCATTTGGTTCCTCAAGCTGCTGAAGGGGTTGTTGAGAATGCCAATGCCAAACGAGCAAGTACTGGAGCTTTAGCTGCCATTTTCCTCAGTGGAACATTTTGGACAGTGGGGTTCAATTCAATTCAATATTTGATTGGAAATGAGATTTTCCCACTTGGTATTAGATCTTTTGCACAATCGATCATCATGGTGTTGCATTTTGCTAATCAATATGGCAACTCCAAAGCAATGCCAAAACTTATGCTAGCCATGCATTCGTTTGGTGCATTCTATTTCTTTGTTGGTGTTTTATGTGTGGCTTTGGTGTGGGCATTCTTCCTTCCTGAGTTGAAGGGTAGAAGTTTGGAATCGATTGAGGAGGTGTTCACTTTGCCTTGGTACAATTTGAGACGTTGTAACAAATTGGTTCCTGACCATTCACAGATTCATAAAGTCAAGTATACAAACAGTAGAGGAAACACTGGATTTGATCATATTCAATTTGATTTGGAAAAGAATAAGCCAAGTATTGAAATGGTTGAGGATGAGACAGGCTCCAACAACAAGCTGAAACATGTAAGGAGAAGTTCAGGAGAGGAAGAGGACGATGAGAAGAAGGTTTAGGTAGTGTGTGTAGTTGACAGAGATAGTGGCATACAAAATTGATTTTTGAATGTGTTGAAGTGTGCTTGTAAGAGAGAAAGGGATTTAGGACTACCCTTCGACTTCAGTAGGTGTGGGCACTAGCTAAGATTGGCTCCTGTTGCAACTGCTGTGTAGTTGAAGCTTTTAGCCGTAACAGGTACTATTCTTGTAGTCAACTACACGACCCAATAGTTACACAAACAAAACATAAATAAGCTTCTATTGTTCTATTTGGCTGCTGTGTTTATTTCTGTTTTTTTTTTATTTTATATTTTTTTCTTGGTTTATTGTTTCTCAACATAGAAATCTCTATGCTATATAAAGTTAAAGACGAGTCTTTGAACAATTGATTGAATCTCTCGGTTGGTTTTTGTTTCCGATTCTTTGTTATTGTTATTGTGAGGAGATTCTTTAGCTCCGTGTGGGGTAAAGTTAGCGAGATTCAGAAGATTTCGAGTGTAGAGAGAGAAAGAGAGAGAAAGAGAGAAGTTATCTTAGAGGCGTGTCGTTGCAGATCTTACCCCCCCGGAGCATTTAAAACTGTAAACGGTTAACATGCGTTTTTGGTTTCCGGATAATTTCTTATGCAGCATTCCATTCCACCCGCAAGTAAGGCTATTCAGTTGTCGTTGCTGTATTTCTTCGAAATATTTTAATTTCAAATTTTAAAATTTTTAAAATTTTTAATATATTTTTTGTGTTTTTTTTTTCTTTTTTCGCACTAACAATCTCATCGAGGCTAAATAAAAAAATGGTTGAATCGGAACGAGAATTGAAACGTGCAAGGAGGAGGGGTATACACTTACCCCGCCCCCAAAGAAAAAAAAAGACTTAGAGAGCAAAGCAGATATTAAAGTGCTCGAAAGAGAGTGAAGAATAAAGGTAGAGAATTCATTTTCTGTTTGTAGAGGGGTTTATATAAAGTTATTCTTTGGATTATTCGCCCGGGGTGTGTATCCTTTCCCCACTTTCTTGACAAATGGGCATTTTGTAATTTGCTAATTTATTTGTGTGTTCTCCAGCATGACATAATAGACTAAGTGAAAGTCAAAATAAATGAGCCAAGTCACGCCTTGCTCACAAACCATAACTCTATTTTACAAAGTACATTGTCTATATCTACATTTACATAACTATAAACAGACTACACAGGCTACACAGGCTACACATATCACGATAAATTAGCTTGTCATTTGGTTGCTATTCGTGAGGATGAAAGATTGCTACTATCACCTGATGGAATGATGGGTTGCATTGTTTTGTAAGCCATATCTTTCTTCAATGAGAACAAAGAAACAATAGAAAAAAAAAAAACAAAACTTTTGATTGTAAAGTTTTTGTTTTTTTTTGTTTCTGTTCGTGTTTTCAGAAATAACACTTTACACACATAACTTGAATAATAATTGCGTCTTTGTGGTATATACTGTATATAGCATATTCTGATACATACGTCACACTGAAATTCAAACGTATCTATATCTACTACACTACACAAAATTGTATCTGTGTTTTTTGTTTGTTTTGAAAAAGAAAAAAGTCTTATTTCTGGCGTAGCAAGTAGATGCCACTTGAAAATAAATTGAGAAATCAAACGGCAACTGTGCATTTGTAACAATGCAGAAAAATGCTACACCATGACGTATTGTCGTCTGTATTTGTAAGTCTCAACAATATTTGCCTTTTTATTGTAACTGAAGCGGGAGAGAGCAAAGCTAGATACAATTTCGGAATGAAATTAAAGCGAAATGCGGGTGATCTAGTCAAGCATTTTTTTTTTCTTTTTCTTTTTCTTTTTCTTTTTTGCCGTCAAGTGTTTGGAGTATCGAGGTGTTTGAAGATTTGGGGGATTCCTTTTTGAGGTATTTTGTGACCAATGTAATCAATAATCTTTTCCGAGAAAAGGTGGGGAAATAGCACACACACACACACATACACACACACACACATACACACACACACACACATACACACACACACAGTTTATGCAAAATCTAAAGTGATTGTTTCTTATTGATGTTGATGTGTTTATGTCTGTGTGTCTGCGGTTTGTGCTTGCTTTAGTTTTAAAAAATTAGCCTTAGTTGCATAATTAGCTGTAGCTCAACAAAAATTTGAAAAGACATCCCGTGTAACTCAAAGACACTCCCCTCTTCTCTCTTCCACTACTTTCATACTGCCTTTTCTCTTCAAAAATTCTAATGCTTTAGTGACAGTTCTTTTTGGCACTTAAATTTTTTTTTTTTTCCAAAAGGCTCCGGGACAACTATCGAGTACAAAAACGAAAAAATAAAAAAAGTGGGGAAGAACAATGCGAAAATGTTGTTTTGTATTGATACTATCAACAGTTACACAATATGCGTGCACACGGACGGATATGTATGGAGAAGGAGTCGAAACATCATCTGTTTCTAACTGCAGGGTTACAAGTAACAGTTTGTACTTTCCTGTTTTCTATTAAAAGCATCTGTATATAAATACCACCCTCCCTCTCTATCTCAAACTACATCTCTTTATTTTGACATATTTTTCTTAGCTGTTTCTTTATTCACCTAGCCAAGACAATTTTTAATATTGAGACCCTTTATTTTTTTAATTTTTTTTTTTTTTTTGATAAGAAATACTCAAGTTAAAATATTGCAAATATGGGGTTCCCACTTTCTAACAAGTACGAAACATCAAATGCGGTTACAGTACACAATATTGAGTCAGATAAGAAGGCCCAAGATGTTGAAAGTGAGAAATCACAAGATATAATCACAGCTGAACCATATCTGAGTAATGACGATGCTAAGAACAAGTCGTCTTCATTTTGGTCGCGATTTAGGTTTTCAGTCGATACTTCTGATCATCCACCACAAATATTCAACAAAACTTTATATTTGAGTATCTTTGTGTTTGGTATACTTGGAGCTGGTAGAGGATTGGATGAAGGAAACATTTCGGGAAATATCGCGCTTCCTGCATTCAAGCAAAGATTTGGTCTTAGTGACAAGTCTAAATCCGCTGATGAATTGGCCAATTTGAAATCAAACATCACATCCATGGTTCAATTGGGATCTATTGGTGGTGCAATTATCGCTATGAAGTCGGTTGATTACTTTGGTAGAATCAGAGCTTTACAATTGACGTGTATTCTTTGGATAGTTGGTGTCATTATTGAAATCACTTCGAGCTCAGTTGGTCAATT